CGGCGAATATGCCGCCGATATGAATTTTTTTTTTACAGAACATATAATGCAGAGAAAATGCTTGAAATGGTGTAATTACTTAGTTTGTCCAGCAGAGCATGCTCCATTGTTTGCTACTGGCGACCTGGATGAAACGCTTTAAAGCTTAAGTCTACGGAAAACCATTGAAACTTTGAACGGCCATACCTCCGTAACGGTGTGGCGGATCCGCACCAAATTCGGGGGATCCCTTCAGCTCGAGGAACCCTCTCGAACGCGAATCGATTGTACGTCTCGAGGCCCTCTTTCGAATGAGACCACCCCCGCGTTGATAGCCCCGGGGTTCGGGAGTTACGGGCGGTTCAATTCGCGATCCGGCACCAACCGATCTAGCGATCCCGGGGGGCTACCAACGCGCGGAGGGTGGCGTTCGAGAGGGCTCCTCGAGCTGAAGGGATCCCCCGAATTTGGTGGAGATCTGCCGGCACGTTCGCGAGATAGGGACACCGGCCAACACTTTCACTTCAGTAAGGAGGTCTCTTGTTCAGGCAGCAGCATTCAAGCGTTGTCTTATTCGACCGTAAGTGCCCTGCGAAGTGGACTTCACATGATAGTCCGCCATGATTCCAGTTCCAAGGGAACGTACACGTTACATTCAAAGGGCATTAAAGTGCACAAGACGTGAATTTATATTTATTTACAGAGGTAAATTGTCACACTTCACACTTCTCTAGTAAGTTTCGTCTGTGTGTGAAGACAGTAGTGCAAATCCGTGAATGAATGTTCCAAAGTTAAATTAACTTCAACGGAATAAAGTTGAATGGAATTTAATTCAAGTTGAATAAACTTCAACTTTACTGTTCAGTGCATTGATGTCAGACTCATTTTGAATAAAGTTCGTTAAATTGTTAAATGCCCTGCCTCCATCATTACATATCTTTGTCACGTCATTATGTTTCATCACCCCATTTGAGTGATCATTGCAAAAAATGTTTATGTACTGTATATATATATATATTCTGTTTATGCATATACTGTATTCTATATATAGTACCAGTCAAATGTTTGGACACACGAATGGGAAAGTGTCCAAACTTTTGACTGGTACTGTACTATAATATACACAAAATATCGGCCGATATATATGGATATCGGCCTTTTTTTACTCCCAAATATCTGTATCGGTCCCAAAAAACCCATATCGGTCGGGCTCTAATTATTACTATTTACAAGAGACTTCTTTTAAAAACAGAATCTTTGAACAGTAGTGTGTGTGTATTTTTACACACCTGTGGCGTGAGGTTTCGCAGTAACAGCCATGATTTTCCCACGGAAGCTCCTCCATCGCTCCACTCTGAAGATCACGAGACATGAACAGGTTGATCTTCACAAACATCTGTTCCTCACATATGAGTTTGTAGTAGGGTTGTAACAATATACCGGTATGACGGTCTATCGTGGTTTGAACGTGCACGGTTATCATACCATAAAAATTTGCATATCTACGGCTTAAAAAAAAATAAAAATCGTACCCACGCATATGCAACTTATTTTCGCTTGGCTGCTTCACTCTGCATTCACTTGGCTGTTTACATGCACTTACAGCAGAGAAAATGGCAGAGACTGCAGTATGGGAATACTTCGGGGATATATATATATATATAAAAAAACAAAAACAAACAAACATGGGGTTGTCCTTGAGGACTGATCCAATTTGCAAAAAAATGTGGACGCAAAGTGGCTGCAAAAGCAAGCAATATATCCAACATGTTCGCTCATATTTGCGGACACCATCCCTGCGTGCAGATAAAGGCGTGTCTCTGAGTGACGCTGTTTTATCTACTACACACTGAAGTATGCATGACGCTAATGGTGTTTTCAGTGTCTACATAACCATGAACATCACCAGAGCTGCTCTGAGAGAAAAGCTAAATAAACATTTCCTAGTTTTATTTGCGAAAAACCATTGTCAAATACACTCTGAAACGTCAAAATAAAAGTTTTTTCAACTTGAAGGTATGAAATATATTATCATTGTACAACGTACTTAAAAGTTATAATAAAAACAATAATAATTAAGGTAGCATCGATCCGATACTCAGGATCGGTATCGGCTCCGATACTGGCATTGTCTGCCAGATTGGGTATCGGTCAGACGAACCGATCCAAATCCGATATTATGCTGGTACTATTCTGTGTTATTGTTAAGCCACACAAAAGCACAAACACATTATAAAGCACCATAAAGTCAAAGTCCAAGTGTTCTGAAGCTGTTCCATAGTTCAGTGTGAGGTACAGACGAATATTTAAGTCATTAAATTCAAGTTCACGTAAACTCTTCTCTCCGCTGCGGCTGTCTGTCATCCTCTATTCAGCATTCAAACTGCGGTACAACCCAAGTTTGCAGTACCTGCTTTAAAGGGCGACTCCGGGGGGCTGGCTCCGCCCCCCCAAGTCCTGGGCATCCAAGGCCCCTCCCCCGACCAGGGCTGCTTCTGACTGGAGAGACCCGGAGGGGGGCGGGGCAGGTGAGAAGGGTTCCGATTGGTCCGCCATGATTTGCCGTGTCCAATGGGCTCCGGAGGCCAACTAGACTTCAGCTCGGAGTATTTAGCTGGAAACGTTAAGAGGTGAGGCTTGCAATTCAAACGACTTAAAAACCTTTGTGCATTTTCATTAAAACCTTAATTAGTATATTTAAGTAAGCATTACCGTGTGCAGTGAGGGGCATTTCTGAGGCACTGTACGGCCAGGCACCAGGTGAAGGCTTACAGGTGTTCAGAGAGTTTGACCCTGATCACAGACAGACAGACAGACTGTCAAACACGGTTACATTTTTCAAGTATGCATAGCAAAACCATTTTCTAAGGCCTCTGAAAAAATAAAAATAAATAACTGTTGTTCACAATCTACTACATGCCTTCTGTCACCTGATTGACAGTTAATGCTTTTTTTTTTATCAAGTAAAAACTCTTTTAGTGTAATTGTACAAACTTTGCTGTCAAATCTTTACTGATTTTTATCAAGTAAACATCAGAATAACTTTAGTAATATTTCCATATGAACACTTGCTGGACTGAAGCAGCTCGGCTTTACTCGATTCTCCAATCATTTGTTTGGCAAATTTCATCTCAAATCTGATCATCAAGATCTTTTGAGGAGCGTTTGTTTTCCAGAAGCTTTACTTTCACTGTTCCTCAATGGAGGAAAGATCTTCCCAAGCCTCCAAAAACATCTCACATCTTCAGTGGAACGTTTAATTTCTTCATCTCTCAATCATCATTGCATTATATGTCTGGATCATTTAAATCTCATCTTACTAACATATTACTGGAGATATATAGAGTGACGACTGATATTTATATAATTTCATGTAAGTATCTGCTATACTGTTATAAAGATCTCATTGATTTACATTACAAGAGTTTCATCATATAAATATCAGCACATACTGCATATTTTTGCTTAAATTGTATCTGAATAAAACAGAGCTGTTTTTTTCCCCTCCATATTCTCACTATATCAGACTATACGAGCCATAAAAGCCCGATCAAATAAATATATATATATATATTAAAAAAAACACTTATACAAACTTTAATACTTTGTCTAAAGTTTCAATAAATTGCTCCAATTCTAAACATTTTATTTCTCTATAATTTGTATATGTCAGGCTTTACATGGTTAAATTGTATATAAAATACTTTATTTTTATTACTTAAAAACCTGCATATATAATACATTAAAATTCTGTGTAAAATAACATTTAAATAATTAACAGAACTAAATTTTTTTTAAATATATATTAAACTCTGTAAAAGGCCTGGAAACAATCCTAAATTAGATTTTAATATTCAACTTCAAAATGTCTAATTCCTTTCAGTTTTCCATTAGTGGGGAAAACCTCAAACAAAATGTATTCAAGTAATTTCCATGAGTTCGGTTCATTAAACAATCAAATTGTATATAAGATTCATTAAAAATGAAGACAGATATTTTAATAAGTTGTGCTGGTGAACATCTAGTTTGTTCCTTCTCAAAACTAGTAAACATGACTCGTTACGTAAAGCAGTAAATCAGACAGGAACCGTGCGATACACATGTGACCAAGGGATGTAATGCTGCATTCTCCAGATCTGTTCCAATGAACAAACTCCTCTACACTTTGGAAGGTCTGAGGGTGAGTAAATTTCCAGAGGGAAAAAAAAAAAACTATACCTTTAATGAAAAATTTAAATAAAACCATTCCCTAATATAATTTAAATCAGCACATACCAATAAAACATGCTTTATAGTCCAAAATGTGTGATTTGTGTGTTTGAGGTGGTGACGTCCTCACCTGTGAAAGCTGCAGGAGTTTTGCTGTGCAGCTCAGATCCTCCCATGGTTGCATGCACTGGTCCATCAGGCTGTTTGTGGGCATTCATCCCCAGCGGATGGAGATGTGCGTCTGGGTGTTTGGGGACTTGTCCTCCCATGGGTGGCGGTGAGAGTTTAGGCCCACCAGCACCCTGCTGCTGCTGTAGGATTGCCATGATCCGCGCCAGCTACAAAGAATTCACACATTAGTGGAACAGACAGAAAATGTTCTTTCAACGCATTTGCATTCCAGTTAAAATATCTAAATATTTACTTTCAGAAGCAACACTGAATAAGATATTAAAACTTGTTTTCATAGATTTCATCTTGAATGTAGAGTTGTATTGACTTCTTTATTTACATAAAGTGTAAATCTGCCAGCATGCCAAGTAGAGAAAATCAATGAAAACAGGTCTTATTATCTTCAAAAGTATTCTTCAAGAATTTTTTGATATAAAAGAGTTTAAGTTATCAATCAACATAAAGCATGTAGTAGATTTGTGTGCAACAGTTTTGATCATGTGGATTATTTAAAAGTAGGGCCACCCTCGACTAAAGATTTTTTCTGGTCGACTAGTAGTCATTCATTTTATGCATTAGTCGACTAATCGCTATTTATTAATAAATCATTTAAATCATAATAAAAAGCCTTTAATTGCCTACATTGCTTAATAAGCACTCAAGCACACGCATAAAGCTTGCCACGGCACACCGGCAGAAGTATTGATTATGAATGCCAACTATATGGCTCCGCGTTATCTTCTGGGCAGAACTATTGTTCCAGCCACCAAAGACAGATTCACAAATAACCTGCCTGATTTATCTCAACTGCTCTGTGTTCCCATAAGTACACATGAACTAGACGAAATAACTAGCAACATGGGCACTATCTTCTATAATACATTAGAAGCTGTTGCCCCCATCAAATTGAAAAAAGGTTAGAGAAAAACGTACTGCGCCATGGTACAACAGTAATACCCATTCTCTCAAGAAAAAAACTTGTAGTCTTGAGCGCAAACGGAGAAAAACTATCTTGGAAGTTTTTAGAATTGCGTGGAAAAACAGTATGTCCAGCTATAGACAGGCTCTAAAAGCTGCCAGGGCCGAGCATATCCACAAACTCATAGAAAATAACCAAAACAATCAAAGGTTTTTATTTAGCACAGTGGCTAGATTAACAAATAACCAGACGCCACCCAATCTAAATATTCCCTCATCTAGACTGGACTATTGTAATGCACTGCTAGGTGGTTGTCCTGCATCTTCAATAAACAAGCTACAGGTAGTCCAAAATGCAGCAGCTAGAGTCCTTACCAGGTTAAGAAAATATGATCATATTACCCCAATTTTACAGTCTCTGCACTGGCTACTAGGGGTCGACCGATATGTGTTTTTCAAGGCTGATGCCGATACCGATTATTACAGCTCAAATAGACCGATAACCGATATTTTGAACCGATATACGTGTCTGGTGTAAAAATTAAAATTAATGTAAAAATTAAGAATAACAAGGGCTCTGGCAAAAACTGCCTTCCCTGGTGTTGGTTGAGTGTAGTACTTCCACAGTACACTCTTTATTTTAAAGAGTTAAACGCTTTATTTTTTGGCAAACAAAGGGTTTACCATTAAAATTAAAACATGGAAGAAATAGCGTATTGTGTGATTATTCTTTTAAACGAAAGTTGTAATAAATGTTGTAGTAGTCAGGGGTTATAGCAAAAAAATTAAAATATCTTTTGACTGAATTTTTCCTCAGCCAAACCCCATTCCTCAGCCATATCTGTCACACACCCAGTTTAAGAGCAGTGTTTTTCTTCTTGTAATCAAGAGCGCTTGTCCTCCTAATTTAAATAAATTAAGGAGCACCTTCTGATCAATAATCAAAAATTCTGATAAAAAATTTGCCTTCCTAATATGAGGTGAATTGATTTACAGGGGCATTTTCTTTTTACCTTTGCAATGGTATCATTTTCATCTGTAAAATTCAAAAATTTATGTTTATAAGCTTTTTAAAATGTATATTTAAAACAATATAATAAGAAGTAGAATAAGACAAATAAGTTACCAATCATGAAATTAGTATTAATGAAAGTATTAATTTGTACTACAGAGGTGGCACAAAAATAACACAAAAGTGGCTTGTAGGTACATTTTCAGACATTCAATGAGGCTCAGAGGTGGCATGAGTGCAATTAGGCCTACATTCATAAATTCATGTGGAGATTAATTTTTTTAATAAATTTTGAATACAGAAATATTAAATGATTTAAATAACTGCAATTATACCTAAAAATGAAACTGAAACCACCAGCAGGTGGCGGCAAATCATGGATTTTATCACTGAATTATTAATTCAGTTGATTCGTTTGAATGGCTAATTCATTCAGGAATGAAGCAGGTGACTGTCTTTATGAATGGGTAATCATGAATCACTAAATTCGTTCAAAAACGCACTTTCATTCATGAATGAAACACCGCTGTGTTTGCTTTTAGAAATGTGAAGCGGCTGAGCTGTTACTATATTTGGAACTATTTTCATTGATGAAATAGAGCAAAATCAGGCAGTACGTGTTTGTTGAACTGTTGTATTAAATCAATATCACATTTGCAAACTCCTTGAATAATTATTAAAACCTGTCAATCTCCTTATCGCGATCTGTGGGCGCACCGAAAATGAGAGTTCTCAAGACTCAAAAGTATGTGCAAATGATAAGTTCCTTCATCTGCCATCGCGTTATAAGCGGGACCTGCGGGAATGAGTATAATTATTATTAATAGCCGCAATCCAGCGCCTGAAATTCAAGACCTGCTCTGTATTCTCTGCTAATAACCCGACTGTGAATGATGCGAGCGGCGTTATGTTGTCAGTGAGAAGCTGCAGCCGTGGCAGGGAGGATTTTTGGTGTGCTGGTGTTCTGACAAATAATGCTACCTATCAGATTATGCTACCAACAAATCACCAGAACACCGGCAGAACAACAACAATGTGCTACATGTTTCTTTTCCCCTAATTTTTTCCAATTGACAAATTCGTCGTAGCGACGGAAAACGTTCATCCCCGAGTAGTATTATGTACATCATACTGCACCACAGTAATATATTTCTGATAATTTCATTAAGCTAACCCGAATTTATAGTTTGACGGGTTGCCATGAGGAACTTCTGTAGGTCTATGTAAATGATATGAAGATAGTTTTGAATGAAACTGTCATTCAAAAATGAAACTGTCAAATGCTCATGAAGTGACTCTTAGAGGGAGTCAGAGCAGTTCTGGAGATGTTGTTCATGTATTTATGTCCTCATGTAGTGATACGACAGAAGCTGAAATCACCGCGAGCGTTGCACACTTTGTATGTGTAGAAAACAAAACCGCTCGTCTGTGCCATTTACATACACTGAAACAAGCAGAACATGCTGGATTCATATTTAAATATTATTTTTGCGGCTTAATATTTACAGATACTAGTCCATATTGCGACTCTATTTAAGTGTACTGACCTACTTTTTGGTTAATTCATCCAAACTTTGACAAATTCCGTGACATTTCGCGTCATACAGTAAATTCCATTTATATGACTGGATTCCACGATTCCGTCCGCGTTTTCTGCATCACGGAAATCATAGATAATATTGAGGTGTTTTGCAACTTCAGTTTAACGTTAGTGGAATGGGATCTATTGCAACTTAAGCAATGTCTGCTGCTGCCTTACCTTTGAGAGATTAACAGACGCATGGATCACTGAAGCAGCTGCAGTCATCAAGCGCTTTCGGAGTAAGAGTGAATTCCACATTGATTGGTCGGACTCGTGACTCCCAACAAATCAGATGAGCGGTGGGCGGAGACTGCTTTAGGCCACAGAGTGGTGAGTTCTGACAGGCTGCATCAGAGCCAAATAGCGCGTTTCAAAATTAAGGTATTTTTTCAAGGCTGGCTACCTATTAAGTTCCGTATCAGTTACAAAATATTATTACTTACCTATAAGGCCCTTAATGGGTTAGCTCCTGCGTACCCAAATAGTCTTCTACCGCGCTACAATCCATCTAGCTCCCTAATGTCGCAAAACTCTGGACTTTTGGTAGTACCTAGGATAGCAAAGTCCACTAAAGGAGGTAGAGCTTTTTCGCATTTGGCTACCAAACTCTGGAATAGCCTTCCTGATAACGTTCGGGGTTCAGACACACTCTCTCTGTTTAAATCTAGATTAAAGACACATCTCTTTGGCCAAGCATTCAAATAATGCATCTCATAATCTTGTACTGCAGTTATATCAGATCAAATGCACATTATTATTCTTTAGTTTGGGTTAAACAAATCAATTTTGCTTGGTTGGAACAGCAGCTACGCTAATTATGTCTCTATTTGTTTCAGTCTGGATCCAGAACACCTGAGAAGAGATGATGCCAACCCCTCAGAGGACCTCAGGTGATGCCAACCCTGAAACAACATACAGAACTACCACATTTTGCTGTAAGTTTGAGTGCACCATATAATAATTGCTGTTAATAGTGTTCATCGTCTGTTTGATTACGTCTTTAATTGATTTCTGCCATATGTACATTAACTGACAGTCACCACTGATAAGCTACCACTAAATATTGTAGAAACTTAATTTGCTGTAAAGTTGCTTTGCAGCGATTTGTATCGTGAAAAGCTCTATACAAATAAACTTGAATTGAAAACTTGAATGTGTCAGGGAAAAACAGTAAAGAGGCTGCATTATCATTTAAATAATTCATTGATAAACTAGTGCTTTCTTTGTTTTCAGTTTAAGAGATGAACTCGGCGACACAGACTCGTAATTTCCGCAGTAGTGGATGCGCCTGTATGAATGTTTCATACAGATTACATAATTTGAGAATATTTGTTTTCCATTTGAATTGGTTAAATTGAAAGTAGACATTTCTCTCTCTATAGATATATTTTTAATGTCTGTGTAACCCAAGTGTACACAGAGTTTTGGAGTTTCGCGCTCAAGTTCACAGAGACCGAGACTGCAGAAAGTGCATCCTGTCTGCTTATATTATTTTACAAAAGCACAATGTTTTGTTGCTATTGTGAGTGCACACAATTAAACGTAGAGTCTTTACAGAATCGAAAGTTGTAATACTCTTATCTGTATGACCAAAAATGAGGGAATATTTTAAGAAACAGTGACCGCACCAGCGCTTCCATCTGTCGTGGCTGCAGTGAAACGCTACTGCAGCTTCCACATTCCGCACACACACTTGAATAGCACACATTTTCTAGGTTAACATTAGATTGAGTGGCCATGTAAAGTTGCTGCTACTTGCATATTACAGATGATAAGCCATATTTGAGGTTGATGTATGATAGGTGAGTGTTTGGATGTCCTGCCCGATGTACTGTATTAACCTACCACATAGACTAGCTGTTAACGATCTGCGTGACTTTGCTAATGTGGATTTTTATTTATTTATTTTTTCTGCGACCAAGCGACTAATAAAATTTTGGTCGACCAAGCCTCTTCTGGTCGACTAACCGTTAGTCACCTATCAGGGGGCAGCCCAATTTAAAAGCCTTAGAAATGTCTTTATCAAATTGATTCGGCACGCTTTACAGGGTTGAGTCAGTAGGGGGCACTGTAGTGCTAGTTGGTTGAGCGGTTATGCTGTACCTGCTGCGGGTCGAGCTGTTGTCTTACAGGAGGAGGAAACTTCCTCTGATTCAGAAACTGCTGCTGCTGTTGTTGTTGCAATAGGAGCTGACAGGCCTGAGATAGAGAATGTATATAAAACATTAAAACAACACCTTTTTTAAACGCCTTACGTTATATTTGAGGACTAAGGGCCAGATTTACTAACAGCTTGCACCAGCGCAAACCGTCTTTTGGCATTAAAATAGCACAGTCAGAATTTACTGAAGACGCGCAGTGAAGAACCAGTGCTGAAAAAACGTGGACAGTTATTTTTGCATCTGACCTTATCGAATACACATTTGTAGGAGTTTCCCTTTCAGACACAAAATTTATGGGAGGAGAGTATTAAAATGAATCCCGCAACGCGATTTACTAACGTTTGCGCTCGTCAAATTACTGGTATTTGCGGCATCATTTAATGCACAAAAAAGCATGTCTTAAAGCAGGCGTTAATTTGCGCTGCTCTTGGTAGATTGCGCTAGTCATTATGGAAATGATCTGGCTAAGTCGGTGTTCTTTAATGTGCGCATTGTTAGTAAATCACCTGCAGAATTTTCCCCTCCCATCGGTGGATTTATGGAATTGCGCTCTAACTCTACTTTGCCTTGTTTAGTAAATCTGGCCCTTAATGAGATACGTACTAGTTGAAACTGTTGCATGTGTGGATGAATGCCACCAAGCATGGCGATGTGTTGGGGGGAAAGCTGTGGAGGGAACATGCCTCCACTAGGTGGCGCCATTGGCTTTAGCATCGGCCCAGGAACCTGAAGAACGACAGAGGAACCATGATATGAGTGTGCACTAATGGCGCTTTTCCACTGCATGGTACGGCACGGTACGGTTCACTTTGGGGGGGTTTTCCACTGGGTACAGTACCTGGTACTTTTTTTCAGTACCACCTCGGTTGAGGTGCGAACCGTATCGTTGCCAAAACATGACGTGTAAACTCTGCTGATCACTGATTGGCCGGAGAGAATAGTCACTACCACTGAACTTTCGACACGAGACACAACAGACCCACTAGATTTAAATCAGCACACCCAGCGAAGGATCGAACGCAACTGTTTTGAACGAGCGCACCTTTTTTTAACAACCAAAAAATATTGTTGTCTGTTGAGGAAGTACAGACATTCCTCTCGTTGATAGCAGAGGAGCGGATCTAGCCAGAGCTTGATCGGGCGACGCGGAATGAAAAAAAATGTCAGGAGTCGTGGCAATAGAGGCGGCGCAACTATAACATGTGAATAATCCCACCCACTCTAAAGTGATACTAAACTGCAGTGGAAACGCAAACCGAGCTGTGCAGAGTTGTACCACGCAGTGGAAAAGCGCCATAAGCAGCATCCATTTATCCCAGTGTTAAATCCAAGAACACAAACTGACCTGAGGAGGCAGGAACTGGTGAGGCACTTGTGCTCGTATCCCAGGGGAAGGGTTTAAGGGGTGCACACCAGCCTGATGCATCCCTCTCAGTGGAGGAATCCCACCACCGCCAAACATACTATGACCTCCAACCTTCAAAACAACAGCAAAGAGGAGCAACAGTTAAAGCTTAGGGCTTTAAAAGGTTTTTAAATATCTAGCTATGAACTTTTACCCTTGTGACCTTGAATAAGGTACTTAACCAGCATAAAATGGAAGCTGCAATGGACTTCCATATGTTAAAGCACTTTCGAGTGAAACTGCTTATTAAATAAGACAAAAAACAGAACAGTATTTGATATTACCCCTCGTGAATAGGCCTGTCACAATAACTTGTTGTGCGGTATATTGCCCCAGAAATAATTGCGATAAGCAGTATTATTGTCATTTTAAAGACCATTTTATGCCACTGAGTATATAATCATAATGTAACAGCATAATAATGCAAGAAGGCCTACACACTAGGGCTGTGCGATATGTACAAAAAAAACCTATCGCGATTTCTTGATCAATTTTGCGATTTCGATTTTAATCACGATTTTGACACACACAGACATGCTTTACAGTCATAAACGCATTCAGTGTGAATTTGAAACATATTTCCAAAAGAAAACCAATTAGAGCTTTATCAAGAAGCTGTAACATGTCTCTAGAACAGACATAAGGCAAAATAATCACTAAGTAAAGGTGTAACAAAATGTCTCTAGAATAGACATATGTGGCAGGAAAAAAAAATCCCGTGTCCAGGGATTTTTTTTGCCATGCATTGGTCATAGAGCTCTTTGTGGCGTTGCCTCAGATGTTGAACTAGATTTGTTGCGCTAAGTTCACACGTACTCCGTCTGCAGTGCGTATACAGTATGCGGTGCAGAAGCAGCATGGACTCATTTTGCTTTCGCACAGGACGCGTTTGCAGTCCACTCCTGATCCACGGCTGTTTACCACAAACACAACATTTATCCAATATTTTGATTTCAAATCCAAACGTTGTTTCTGAAAATGCTTTTTCAGCATTGTGATTCTCTTTTATCACAGTACAGTAACACACTCTTTCATAGACATATTCACGTTTAAACTCA